GTGCCAACCCAACAGACACTTTCGGAGATACCTGTAGTGCACCTTTATAGCCACATAGTTACGTTGTGACGATTGGTACACCCAAAGCATTCCTACGGTATCCGGGAGTTGCACGATATCATGGTCTAAGGAAATGATACTTGACATTAGAAAAGCTTTAGCAAACGAACTACACGATCTTGTGCTATGCTCAGGATTGGGTCTTGTCCATCACATCATTTTCCTAATGATGTGATCCCGTTATCAATGACATCCAATATCCATAGTAGGAAACCATGACCATCTGTTGATCAACGAGCTAGTCAACTAGAGGCTCACTAGGGGCTTGTTGTGGTCTATGTATTCACAAATGTATTACGGTTTCCTGTCAATACAATTATAGCATGAACAACAGACAATTATCCCGAACAAGGAAATATAATAATAACCATTTTATTATTGCCTCTAGGGCATATTTCCAACAAGAAAGCCCTGCAAAAACAAGTTAGACGTCCTCTACTTTGTTGTTGCAAGTTTTACGTGGCTGCTACGGGCTTCTAGCAAAAACCGTTCTTACCACGCATCAAAACCACAACGATTTTTCATCAAGTGTGTTGTTTTAACCTTTAACAAGGACCGAGCGTAGCCACACTCGATTCATCTAAAGTTGGAGAAACATACATTCACCAGCCACCTATGTGCGAAGCACGTCGGTAGAACCAGTCTCGCGTAAGCGTACGCGTAATGTCGGTCTGAGCCGCTTCGTCCAACAATACCGCTGAATCAAAGTATGACATGCTAGTAAGCAGTATGACTATTATCGCTCACAAGTCTTTGTGTTCTACTTGTACATATAACATCTACGCATAGAGCTAGCTCGGATGCCACTATTGGGGAACGCAGTAATTTCAAAAAAAGTCCTACGAACACGCAAGATCTATGTCTATGTGATGCATATCTACGAGAGGGGAGAGTGTTGTCTATGTACCCTCGTAGACCGAAAGCGGAAGCGTTATGACAACGTGGTCGATGTAGTCGTACGTCTTCACGATCCGACCGATCCTAGCACCGAAGGTACGGCACCTCCGCGATCTGCACACGTTCAGCTCGGTGACGTCCCACGAACTCTAGATCCAGCTGAGGTCGAGGGAGAGTTTCGTCAGCACGACGGCGTGGTGACGGTGATGACGAAGTTACCGGCGCAGGGCTTTGCCTAAGCACTACGACGATATGACCGAGGTGGAAATCTGTGGAGGGGGGCACCGCACACGGCTAAACAATCAACTTGTGTGTTCTAGGGTGCCCCTGCCCCTATATATAAAGGAGCAAGGGGGAAGGCCGGCCGGCTCCTATAGGCGCGCCCCAAGAGGGGAGTCCTACTAGGACTACCAGTCCAGTAGGATTCCACCAAGAGGGGAAGAGGGGGAAGGAAGGAGATAGAGAGGGGGAAGGAAAGGGGGGCGCCGCCCCCCCCCCCCCTTCCTTGTCCTATTCGAACTCAAGGGGAGGGGCGCGCGGCCTGCCCTGTCTGCCCCTCTATCTCTCCACTAAGGCCCATCGAGGCCCATTAGTTCACCCGGGGGTTCCGATAACCCTCCGGCGCTCCGGTTTTATCTGAAACTTCTCCGGAACACTTACGGTGGCCAAATATAGTCGTTCAATATATCAATCTTTATGTCGCAACCATTTCGAGTCTCCTCGTAATGTCGGTGATCACATCCGGGACTCCGACCAATCTTCGGTAAATCATGTCACATAAACTCATAATATCAATCGTCATCGAACGTTAAGCGTGCGGTTTCTACGGGTTCGAGAACTATGTAGACATGACCGAGACACGTCTCCGGTCAATAACCAATAGTGGAACCTGGATGCTCATATTGGTTCCAACATATTCTACGAAGATCTTTATCGGTCAAACCGCATAACAACATACGTTGTTCCCTTTGTCATCGGTATGTTACTTGCACGAGATTCGATCGTCGGTATCTCAATACCTAGTTCAATCTCATTACCAGAAAGTCTCTTTACTCGTTCTGTAATACTTCATCCTGCAATTAACTCATTAGTCACAATGCTTGCAAGGCTTATAGTGATTAGTATTACCGAGAGGGCCCAGAGATACCTCTCTGAAACACGGAGTGACAAATCCTAATCTCGATCTATGCCAACCCTACAAATACCTTCGGAGACACCTGTAGAGCACCTTTATAACCACCCATTTACGTTGTGACATTTGGTAGCACACAAAGTGTTCCTCCGATAATCGGGAGTTGCATAATCCCATAGTCCGAGGAAAATGTATAAGTCATGAAGAAAGAAGTAGCAATGAAACTAACAAGATCATATTGCTAAGCTAATGGATGGGTCATGTCCATCACATCATTCTCCTAATGATGTGATCCCGTTCATCAAATAACAACACATGTCTATGGTTAGAAAACATAACCATCTTCGATTAACGAGCTAGTCAAGTAGAGACATACTAGGGACTATATGTTTTGTCTATGTATTCACACATGTACTATGTTTCCGGTTAATACAATTCTAGCATGAATAATAAACATTTATCATGAATTAAGGAAATAATAATAACTTTATTATTGCCTCTAGGGCATATTTCCTTGAAAAGGCGCCAAAGGAGCTTGCAGTGTGGTATTTGAGGCAGCGGCCACACGGGACCTCTGGATTTGGCACTCCTTCTTTGGTATGCCAGGAACTCACAATGACATCAACATACTTCAATGCTCGAATGTCTTTGCCAAGATTGTTGAAGGTCATGCTCCTCCGGTGAACTTCGAGGTCATGTCAATGGGCGCCACTAAAACAAGGGATACTACGTAGCAGATGGCATATATCCGAGATGGTCCACGTTTGTGAAGACTATCTCAAACCCTATGCCAGGAGGCGAGAACTCCTACTTTGCCAAGTGTCAGGAGGCTTGTAGGAAGGATGTTGAGAGGGCATTTGGTGTGCTCCAATCTCGATTTGCTGTTGTCTGGTACCCCGCTCTGACCTGGTCGAAAGATCAAATGTGGGAAGTCATGACTTGCGTGTCGTCTTGCACAACATGATCATTGAGAGCAAGCAGGAAGAGCCAGTGTTCGACACTAAACCATATTACAGGAAGGGTCCTCTTGCCCAAGTTGATCACCAGCTATCGGCATCATGGTATGTCTTCCTCAATATGCGTCAGGAGATCCGAGACCCAAAGGTGAATCAAGAACTGTAGCACGATCTGGTGGAGCACCTATGGAGGCTCAAAGGCAACGTCTAGTTCAACGTGTGAAGAACTATGAGTTTTAATTTGTGTTTGAATTATGAGTTTGCTTCGTTGAACTATTTGATTTATATTGATTTCTATGATGAACTATGTGATAAAAATTAGTTTAATTTGTGCCGAAGCGGGCCGAACTTGGGCCGAATTTGGGCCGAAATTGGCGGCTGGGAACCCGAGCCCCCCCCCCCCTGCGCCGAAATTACCACCGGTTGGCCCCCAAGCGGCGATATTTCAAGTCCCTGAGGGGCCGAACGACTGGAGATGCTCTAAGATTTGAGGTTAAAGTTCGCTAGGGGAGGTAGGATCGATCGAACTCTTCCATTCGCTCAGATTAAACCCTAGCGCTAACTCCAAAACCAAAAAAAGACATGTTTTCATTTTGACACACTAGCAAACAAACAAACCCAGGAATTTGCACTTAACTGCAAAAATAGCTCCAATAACATATAAATATCTGCCATCTACAAATAATAAACTTTCCATGGTTATAATACATAGATACCATCCATGGCCAGATTTAGAATAAAAAAATTGTGTCTAGAAAATGAAGGCAAACTTATATAAAAAGTTGTGTGACAAGTTTAGAGAAATCTTGTGTCCTAAATCATGACAATATTTTGTTGGAGTCATAATTTTTCCTAAAATATAGTAAATTTGTGCAATATTGCTGCACAAAGAATACAAAACACCCATCTAGTTGGGTGTATATTTGAACAAAAGTTTGCAATACCAAAAATGTCATACATGAAATTTACATGTTCGTCTGTGGAGCAAAAAATGTCGTTTTTCACGTACTGGAACTCTGATTGAGCGCATGTAAAACTATGAAGATCGCCTTTTTTTAGTTGTGATCGGCCGCTATGAATACCACACTTTAATTTGCTCATATTGTTTTTTTAGAAAAATTGCTCATATTGATATGCATTTGAAATGAAGGAGGCCTGAACGAAGAAAATGTAGCCTGTTTTAGGACCGGGGGCATACAGATCTGCACAGGCAGCGAAAGTTAAACCAAAGCTGGCCACCTGGGTCGTGCGTGCTAGGCCGATCCGCTAGCATGACTGGCGCGTCCGTCCATGGCCAGGCACGACACGGCTAAATGGCACGTGCGTGCCAAGCCGGTCCGCTAGCACGACGGACGCGTCCCTCCATGGCCAGGCACGACACGGCTAAATGGCCCGTGCGTGCCAGGCCGGTCCGCTAGCACGACGGGTGCGTCCCTCCATGGCCGCACGACATGGGATGTGCCTGGGTACGAGGACCGGCATGACATGACCCGTTTATATTACCGCAGTCTCAAAGTTCTTGTTTTATATTTTATATATACGTATGCATCTAAAACTAAAACATGACTAGGTACATCCTTACCTAGACAAATCTAAGACAAGAATTTAGAACCGAGGGACTATTTTGTTTTTCATGATTTTTTTTATTTTTATATATAAGACCAAAAATATATCCCAGTAGGCCTAAGAACAGCCCAACGGGCTGAAAACATATGGCCTAGCGTGCTAAACGTGCCACAGGCCGGCCATGCTTGGGCCGAGGAGCGTCATGCGGGCCGGCACAGCAGCCCGGCTATTAAACGCGGGCCTGATTAGGCGCAGAATTAGGCCGCTAATCCCGTAGAAAAAAAATCCCGTTGAGGCCCGGCCGAACATCATCCACTATTCCACTATCCACTGCTACGGTTAACAGTCAATGTATAAAAAATGCTGCTGCCCTAATAAAAACTATAAAAATGCTACGGTTAGCAGGTTATCGATCCTCCATCACCGCCGAGAGGCGCCGCCGCCGTCGCGTCCTCATGGACAATGGCGGCCTACGCCGCCGCCTCAAACCAAGGTATTTCTCCTCGCGCGCACGAAGAGACCGCGAGCTAGTTCCCCGTCAATTCGTCCTCCTCGCCCAGATTGATGGATCCACTGTACAGATTGATTTATCCTAACCCCTTTGAATCCTTTCAGCGGCGCCATGGAGGGGAAGAGTTCCGCGAAGAAGAAGGCAAGGACGACCACATCTCCAGAGGAGGAAGCAGTGCCCGCGGCGGCGGCGGCCAGCCTCCTGACGGACGACCTCATCTTGGAGATCCTCTCCCGCCTTCCCGCCAGGTCCGTCCACCGCTTCAAGTGCGTCTCCCCGGCCTGGCGCGACCTTATCGCCGACCTCGCCCACCGGAAGAAGCTGCCCCAAACCCTCGCCGGCTTCGTCTACAGCACCTACGACAGGGTCGACCCACGCTTCCAGCGCTTCCACTTCGCCAAAGTCTCCGGCGCCGCAGCCCCGCCGGTGGACATGTCCCTCTCTTTCTTGCCACCCGACGAGTATTGGTATGTCGACCAGCTGGACACCTGCAATGGCCTCATCCTCTGCCGCGCCCACATGCTCCCTTCTTCTCCTTCCGGGGACGAGAATACGCCGGTTGAATCCCATTACATCGTGTGCAATCCGGCCACCGGGAGGTGGGTCGACCTCCCCCCTCACCCCGAGGTGCCACCCGGCTGTCGCATCTTCGCTCGCTTGGCTTTTGATCCAGCAGCCTCGTCCCATTTCCACGTTCTTCAGTTTAATGACAGCCAGCAGAAGGAATACGTCACAGGAGTGAACATCTACTCATCTCAAACCGGGGCATGGATTTGTAGAGAAAGCCGCTTGGTTGAGAAAATTAGCCTGTTCACTGGCCTTGCAAGTGTCTTCCTTCACGGTATGCTGCACTTGCTTGGTTTACTGTATCCCATGAACATGGAGGATGATGCTGTGCTGGTAGTCGTGGACATGGAAGGCCAGGTGTGGAACACTATCCCTGTGCCGTCGGGTGGTTTGAGTTTCGGTAGAATTGGATTGTCACAGGGGTGCCTGCACTATGCTACCACACCGCTAGCTACTGACGACAAGAAGAAGAAGAAGAGGAAGAAGAAAAAGGAGGATACATCAACAGTCTGGTGCATGAAGGATCATGATAGTAAAGAATGGGTCTTGAAGCATAGTGTCAGCAACGATGAGCTGCGGAGCATAACTGGTGTGGACTACAAAGTGGCTGCTTTTCATCCAGACCGTGACACCATTTTTCTGGATTCATATGATGTTGATACATTGGTATCATACGATATGCAGCATCGGAAATTCCATCAAATCCATAGTCTTCAGGAAAACCGGGCAACACTATTTGTACCCTTTGTTCCATTGTTCTCAGATTCATTTGCAGGTGCAGATGGACAGTAGTGTTACCTACTACAAGTCAAGCTTGTGGTTCTTCTAAGAATTTGCTCTTCTGTAGGCGCTGAACTATTTTTGTCTGTTGATCTCTGAATTTGCTTAAGTTATGTCATTTAACTTGTGTGCTCCTGCTAGCTTGAATTTCTGTTTGGAAAAACATGGTTACTATTCTTGTCGCTGAATTATTGAATATGCTGGTGCTTGTGTTCTATTGTCTGGATACAAATTAGTTTCATGTCGCAAAGTTATTCTGAAATCTGGTTTTCGTGTTCAAGACACTAAGGATCTTGTGTCCTAAATCCTAAGATTACTACTCTCTCTGTTCCTAAATATAAGCCCTACGGAGCAAAATGCACTCTAAAATATGTCTATATACTTCAATATGTAATTTGTATTGAAATCTCTAAAAAGACTTATATTTAGAAACGGAGGGAGTACATTATTGGTGAGGGTTGTTGGTAAACCTTTTAGTGTACTGAGAGTCTATCAGATTATTGTTGAGGGCTTTGGTACAACTTTGTACTAAAGTTGTACTCCCTTGATGATCTAAATGATCTTATATTAGTTTACAGCGGGAGTACTAATTTGGATCGGAGGGAGTACCTAATTTGTTAACCCAACTGAATACTTGCATCAATGATGAAAGAAAACGTGCAGATGTGCAATAGTGTTGCACTGCACACCTTTCGTAATGAAATTTTTCTTGCTGGGTGAGAAAAACAAGAAATGCTTATTTCTTCCCTATGTTCCTCTTTCTGGAGTCTCCTAAATGATGTCATTCAATCTGCTTGCCGCTAGCTTGATTGTTTGTTCGGAGCAATGCCTGGCATACTTACAGATTAATCATATCGATGTGTGCAGCTTAGTTTACTGAAAGTCTCAATAAGAATGTTGCAATGTGAGTATATTTGATCTTAGTCCTAAGAGGTAATGCACTGCATCGAACAAGTTCCTCTAGCTAAGCTAATGAATTCTGGTGAATCCAGTCTGAGTTTCTATCATAACACCATATAATTACACCATGGTTTATTCAGTTTCTGACCTGAATAAATGTATTCAACTATGTCCCACAATTTCCCCATGTTTCCTGTCATTTTCTAGACATCTGTGATGTTTCTTCGGAAACTACATTCCCATTACAGTATTACCCAATCCTCGTAGAATTATTTTTTGCTCCTACATGTTTTCCATATCACATGAACTCACAAGCACACCGAAAAAGAAGAATTTATTTCCTACAACTTTGTAGTAAATTGGTTCATATACATAGTCCGTCAGTTATCGAAACCATTTCCTTTACTCCTATTTTCCAGCAGCTTGAACTGAAATAGGGACATTCCAGTGTACATTCATCGATGGTGTCCCCATAATCACAGCAAAGCAATGTGATCTGAGAAACTTTACCACGCTGATGGCGTATTGGCTCCTAGTAAGTGGGAGGGAATCAGTCACCTCCGCGAAACCTCTGCGGTTAATTTGTTGCTCTATTCGTTCGGATGTGTTCTGTAAAGGTTGTTCGTTCCAGGGTACTCCAACATGTACACACGGCTCCCTACACGGCCGGACAACGGACACCATTTGGCACGGCGACGGTAAGACGATGCTGTACCGGCCGGCGGACGGTGCAAGTCGATGGAACATGTGCTTCACCATCGTCTGCTCATTTGTGAGCAAGGTCATTATTGCGCTGGTCGACCAACTTTGGAGTAGTTCGGAAGCTTGTGAGGTCATGTCTTCCCGAGTCTGTCTGGCATGATCTGGGGTGGTTGTCCACCCCTCTTCATTGTCTTCTTCTACAGGATGCCGATCTGTTACTGAGATTTTTGTCGTCGACATCTTCTGACTTTGATAGACGACTTCTCGGTTGCTACATCAACAACGTTTCCCTGGCTCTGAGGCTATTTCGGAGTTCCATAGGTGGCATTGAGCCTGCTTTGCTCACGGCACACCGCTAGTGGGTGTGGGAGTAAGACAACCTTAATTTACCCAAGGACTGGCGTGCAATTTTACTTTTTAAAGGATGACCTTGTAAGGGTTGACTGATTTCTTTCATAAAGATATTCAGATGACATTTTTTTTGAAACGAAAGGGGTTGCCCCCCTGCCCCAACTTTTTATTGAAAAAGCAAAGGCAACCAAAGATCAAAGTTCACAGCTCTCGGCTCCAGCCAGAAGTAGCCACAGCAGAATTATTACAGACGAAAACATCAACAGTCTGAAAATCCACCAGATAACTACGAAACGCCCCCCTATAGGAACTACAACCGCAGAGGCTATGAACTCCCTACAGGCGCATCAAACGTGCCAGGCAATTCTAAGCAACTCCCCGCGATGATGGTCGAGCAGCTTCAAGCATTGGAGGAGTAGCACAACTTGGGAGTCCACGCACAATATCTTCAATTGATAGATATGTCTCCCCACCATCTCCAGCACACATTTGATGCTTCGCCATCTTCGCCCATGGAACACAATTTCATTTCGAAACAACCATAAGCTCCATAAGGTAGCAGCAGAAATCAAGTTTACAGCATCATAACACTTTTTCTTCTTCCAAAAAGGAAGCAATGATTCGAACGACTCTGGTACAGGCATTTTGGTACAGTTAGCTATCACCAGCCACACTTGTCGGGCCACCACACACTCAAAAAACAAGTGTTGAATGCTTTCAGGTTCACAGCAGAAGACACAAGTCAGGTCTTCCACATGCTGGTGTTTAGCCAAATTGTCCCTAGTCAGACTCTTATTGTGCACAATTAGCCACAGAAACACATGGATATTAGGGGAACTTTGATTTTCCAAATATAATCTTTCCAAATAGAGACCATGCCCCCCCCCCCCAATTAATCATCTTATACATAGATTTAACAGAATATAACCCTTTACTTTCCAAGGACCAAATAGGCTTATCAGCCATGTTGTTAAAAGGAACATTTTTAATCACATTAAGTAGTTCATTCCAGGAGCACAAAGTATCCTCACTAACACACCTTCTAAAAGTCAGCTGTAAATTCTCCCCATCCCACACCTGAGCCACAGAGGCCTCTTGTTGTTGACAGATCACAAAAAGGTCCCAAAATCTAGTTTTGAGTGAACAATCACCCACCCAGGCATCATGCCAGAAAGAGATTTTTCTCCCATTCCCAGGGATCCACTTATAAAAGGTTTTGGCAGCAGAGCAAGCCCAGGTGAAACTCTTCCAGAAGGGAGAGCCTACTCCAGTCCTAGCCCATAGTATATTTGGTCTATTCACATTATACTTGTAATCGAGCAATTTCTTCCAGTCACTATCTCTATCATCAAAAAAACGCTTACTCCAAGCAGCAAGCAAGGACATATTAAATTCCCTAAGATTAGGAACCCCCAAACCACCCCATTCTTTCCTCTGAGAGACCAGCCCCCACTTGGCTAGGTGGTACTTATGATTGTCTCCAACATTACCCCAGAAAAAATGAGCCATTTGAGAAGTGATAGCATCAATAGCCCACTTAGGAAATTTCATAATGGACATTAAGTATGTAGGAATACTGGCAATGCATGTAGTAAGTAAAATCAATTTACCCCTATAAGACAGATGTCTGCCCAGCCACCCAGAAATTTTTCTGATAATTCTATCAATAATGGGTTGTATATCCTCTCTTCTAAGTTTCTTGAAGTGAAGAGGAACCCCAAGATATTTAAAGGGGAAATCCCCAATTTGGCAACAAAAAATTTGGGCAAATTCCTTAGCAGTCTCCTCATCAATATTGATGGTATGCAAATCACTTTTGTGGAAATTGATACAAAGACCAGAGAGTTTTTCAAAACAAGCCAGGATCCACTTCAGGTGTCTGGCATGGTCAGCAGAAGCATCCAAAAACAGTAATGTATCATCAGCATATTGCAAGCTGACCACACCACCAGGCACAACATGAGGCAGAAACCCTTTGATCAAGTTATGGCTAGTAGCTTTCTTTAGCATCTTAGAAAAAACATCAGCAACTAAGTTAAAAAGAAGAGGAGAGGAAGGATCACCTTGTTTCAACCCTTTTCCCCCCACAAAATGAGGACCAATGGTATCATTAATTTTCACAGCAAAAGCCCCTTGATAGAGGCAGCTACAAACCCAACCTATCCACTTCCCACCAAAGCCTCTAAACTTCAACATTTCCACAAGGAAATCCCAATTTACCTTATCATAGGCTTTTTCATAATCCAATTTCAGAACCAAGCCACTAGACCCAGATCTATGGATCTCATGAATCACTTCATGAGCCATGACCACACTTTCAAGAATAAATCTCCCTTTAATAAATGCAGTTTGATTTGAGAGATGATTCTGTCACAGATAGGGGAAGCCCTAGTATTCATAGCTTTTGAAAAAATCTTAACAAAACAGTTTCCAAGGCTAATAGGCCTAAAAAATTTTCATATCTTTAGCATCATTAACCTTAGGAATCAGGGTAATAATAGCAAAGTTCAATCTAGATACATCCAAAGTACCATTCTCAAAATCCTTCACTAACCACATAAAGTCATCTTTAATTAACTCCCAAAATGTTTGATAAAAAATAAAAGACAACCCATCAGGACCAGGGGCCCCACCAGCATATGAACTCATAATTGCTTTTTTAATCTCCTCCTCAGAAAAGGTTTTTTCCAACATCTCTCTCTCTTCCTCAGTGATCATATTACCATCATCCCAAAAGCCTTCATCTAGATGAATATCAGGTTTTTGCTCATAAGAAAAGAGTTTCTTATAAAAGGTGGTAGCAACATCCAACAAATCCTCAGTGTTTGTAACAGGGCCATCAGGACCATTTAGTTCAGCCAGGTGGTTCTTCCTATGTCTATGATTAGCTAAAGCCATAAAATAAGCATCATTACGGCCCCCTTCCAAAAAATTTCTGTCTCTGGACCTTTGCCATAAGGCAGTCTCTTCCTTCTTTCAAATATCATCGAACTCTTTTTTAATGAGATTCATCCTCTCACCCTCACTAGGAGACAGTTGACTATGTTCTGATTTCACAT